TTGCTTTTTTGTTTTTGTTGTTTGTTTTTTTGAGGCAGAGTCTTGCTTACTCACCAACTTCCCCAGCTGGGCCTACACTTGTGAACCTCCTACGTCAGCCACCCGGAGTGCTAGAATTCTCTCCTGTGCCACTACTAGCAGCTCAGGTAACACTTCTTAAACCATGGCTCAGGCCCCCAGTGAGCCAGGAGGCAGCAATTGCCTCTAGGACCCAGCTCAGAAGTCACCACAGAATGATTCTACCATGCTCTGTTAGCTGGCTGGTCCCTGGGTTGGGCCAGATTCATAGACTGTCCCTCACGAGAAGTGTCCTTAGGCATATGGGAACATTTTAACATGGGCATGCACTTGGTCAGATCAACAAAGAACTTGCAGGAGGGCTGTGGGTGGGGAAGTGAGGAGATGTTAGGGCCTGGTACAGCACCATGTGGCAGAAACCACAGGGAAACGGCTCTGCGCGGGGTGTCTGCTCAACACTGCCAAATGCTGATGCGCAGCAGGGTCACAGGGCTTAGAAGTGGTAACAAGGAGACAGGGGGGATCTTGGGCAGGGGTTTAGGGCGGACAGTGCTCTGTTGGTGAGGGGGAAGGGCACTGATTTGGAAAGCGTGGGTAGGGGGAAGCCACAGTGTGGGTAGCAGGGGATCTGAGGGCTGGCAGTAGGCAGCAGGTGATGGATGAGGCTCTGGAGGAGATGGAAGGGATCAGTTCCTAAGGAGAGGGAAATGCACAGACTTTGAGCCTTCAAAGGAGAGAAACTTAATCCTCTGAAGCCCCTGGAAGGAGAGCAGGACAGCTGCTGTGAGAGGTTGTGAACTGAACACAGTAGTCAAACCTGATCCAACGCCAAGCATGACAGGCACATCTGCAAGCCCAACACTCTGGGAGGCTGAGGCAGGAGGAATACAAGTTTGAGCTGAGCCTGGGCAATTTAGAATGCCTTACAGAAACCCTATCTTCAAATGAAAATAAAAAGGGCTGGGGATGTAGCCCAACTGAAGGCTTTGGGTTAGTACTACAAAGACAAACAACGAACAACAAACCCAGGTATGAATCTTGGTTCTGCAACTTGGTTCTTGCATGGTTTACCCACTGTGATCCTTAATTTCTTTAAAATAGAGATAGGGCCGGGGAGATGGCTCAGTGGAATAAGCGCTCCCTGGCAAGTGCAAGGGCCTGAGTTCAATCCCTGGTTCCACCAAAAATAATAATAATAATAATAATAATAATAATTTAAAAATAAATAAATAACACAGATAATGTAAATATGTGCTTCTTAGAGGACTAGAAACTGTGAAATGAGTTGTGCATATAATAAGATGTTTGGAGCACTGGACTAGAGAGAGAACAGTGAATTATTGCTGCCAGTATTACTTTCATGCTTCATGGGTGAGTGGTGTGGGAATCTGGGTGACATGGTGCTGTCCCCTCATGAGAAAAGCAAGAGGCATTATCTGGTATGAAAGGAGAAGGTTTTAGTCCACCCTTTTAGGTTTAAAAGAGTGGTCAAAAAAAAAAAAGGTGGTGAAATGGATACTAACGTGAGGCTGGTGTGGGCCTATAATTCCTACTACTCAGGAAGCTCAGGGAATGCGTTTAGCAACAGAACCAAACAGAAGAAGGAGGCCCTGAGGAGCACATGACAGATAGCCACAAACTGAAAGCCAGAGTGGTCAAGCAGCTTCTCCAAGTCACACAGCAAACCCTCTGCTGTCCTCCAATGTAGGCCTCTTACCATTCTAGGTTTATATCCACAGAGACCTGGTGCTTCAGATATTTTGGAGCAGAAAGAGTAGAATTTGACATTTAGTTGAAAGGAAACCCTGCAGACAAGAGAGGGTGGGTTGCTAAGAAACCCCTTAGTGTGCGGGAGAGAGCTGGCACCCATCACTAGGCAACCTGGAAGCCACATGGACAGGTTTGCCTGCAGATGCTGCTCTTCCTTCTTAGAGACTCCTGGAATGCCAGGCCAGGATGACCCAGGAGACGGCCAGCCCAGTCCCTACTTGGACAGCTGAGGACACCAGACCTCAAACAACAACATGATTAGCCCAAGGCCCCTTCAGTTTTTCAACAACAGCAGAGACAAGTGGCCTGGAAGGAAACTGTCACTGTGCCAGATGTGGCCAAAGCAGAGTTTGAGTAGTTGAAGATGAGTCTATAAAAGAGTAAAGAAATCAGGCTTGGTGATGCAGGGCTGCAATCCTAGGTGCTCAGCAGGCTGAGGCAAGAGGATCACAAGGTTCAGTTCAGCCTGGGCAACCTGACAAGACCACACTTCAAAATAAAAAATAGGGCCAGGGAGATAGCCCAATACCAATAAATAAAAGGCTAGAGAGGCTGACTGTAGTGGCATATGCCTATGATCCCAGCACTTAGGAGCTGAGGCAGGAGGATTGCCACAAGTTCAAGGCCCACCTGGGGCTACATAGTGAGTTCAAGGCCAGTCTGACCTATATAGTGAGACTATGCCTCAAACCACCACCCTCCGCCACCAAAAATGGGCTAGAGATGTAACTGAGTGGTAGAGAATCACTGGATTTGAATCCTAAGAAAGAAAGAAAGAAAGAAAGAAAGAAAGAAAGAAAGAAAGAAAGAAAGAAAGAGAGAGAAAGAGGGAGAAAGGGAGGGAGAGAGAGGAGAAGGGAAGAGAGAAAACGAGGCAGGAAGGGGGAGAGAGAGAAAGGAGAGGGGGAGAGAGAGAAAGGAGAGGGGGAGAGAAAGGAGAGAGAGAGAGAGAGAGAGAGAGAGAGAGAGAGAGAGAGA